TCCCCCACCCCCACCTCCGGGGACAGAGAAAGAGAAAGGGGGAAAGAGAGAGAGAGAGAGAAAGAGGGAGAAAGAGAGAGGGGAGAAAGAGGGAGGGGGAAAGAGAGAGAGAGAAGGAGGGAGGAAAAGAGAGAGAAGGAGGGAGGAAAAGAGAGAGATGAGATATGAGAGATCCCGGTGTTTTGTTTTCTGTGGGAAACGGGTCCAAATGACTCTTTGAGGATTTAAGGTTGGAGAAACAGGCAGCCAAGCTAAGTGCCTGAAGAACCCCATCCCGTCAGTGCGAATCCAGGCGCTTCAGCAAGCAACATGCTGGATTAGAGTCTGCAAGATTTAAAATTATGAGTTTGGTGGTCCAAAAGGTTGGCGACCCCTGTTCTAGATCTATACAGAGTTGGAAAGAACTCTTTTCCACTTAGATGATGAGAAAAATATAGTAAAATTTACAAAGCAGAAATATCTTAAAATTAGCAGCAGCAGCATTTTTAAAATTCCATGCATAATTCCTATTGCCATTAGAACATTAAAGTTGTCAGTACTGTTAAGTACAGTACTAGTTTTACTTCCATTTATAGTAAAACCAGTATCTGAAAACCTCAGCCCTTGGTTCCCATAACTAATTTGATCCAGAGACAAAATTCAGGATTTTTCTTTATCTACAGGGCCCATACAAGCAGGTTCAAGACTTTAAAAATTGCAAGCCACAATACATTTAGTCACACACCCCATTTAATCCACTCTTCTGTTCCAGTGAATCCTGGCAGTCAGAAAAGGGATACTGTGATCACCACTGATTCAGCCAGCTTGTACTCTGACGCTCTCCTATAACTTTTTTCTATAACACCCAAAAAATTTCTGACTCAAAATGCCAGCAAGACTATCTGATGAAGCCGGCTTTAGCTTCATCCCATTTTATCTTTGCAAGGGATGGGGGGCAAGAAAGATAAAGCACACTTGGGGCAACAGGCAATCCTCGGAGGGTGCGGGGGAGATGAGAACAGTGAACTTTGAGAGCAGTGCTTTACTCAAAAGTCCAGAAACTGGATGAATCAACTTGGTGAGTCAGAACAGATTTGCAGGCTAGCAATTAATTCCATGATTGTTAGGAAAAAGTAGCAAGTTTGGGGAAATCATTAGAGGCATTAACTGTCCTCTGCTGTATAAACCAAAGTGAAAATGAAAAAGAGAAAAAAAGCACCTGAAGACTAGAAATAAAGGGCACTTTCGGAATTATTATCTACCCACCTTATGCAGTGAGATTAGTAGATTATTGAACTGTGGACTGTAAGAAAGTAACCAAATAACGACGCAGAAAAAAAAGTAGAGACAGTGAGAGTTGCCAGAAAAAAATAATATGCATATAATTCAAAAAGCATTCCAAGCACTCAAACTCCATCACCAAAACATGTTTTGCATTTTAGTTAACTATTCAATTGGACCATTAAAAAGCCTGTATCTGGCCAATGTACAATATTAGTTTCTGTACATATTCAATGAGCCAAGGATTAGTAATCGCTACTACCAGATATAAATGGAAATATTAATTACCAATAATTGCATTGTTTCCACCAAGCTCCAACAGGCATCGTCCTATTAAAATAAACAGTAAATCATATTAATCTAACCATTAAACTAGCATTTATGCTAGCCCACCTCCCATCATTTTATTTTTAAAAATGTGAATCAAAGAAATGAACATATTTAACAAAATTGCTTTCTTTACATAGCTCCAAAAATACAGATTTTTGCTAGCCATTTATGAACAAATAGTGCATATTAGCATGTCATCTAGGTTTAGGGTTTATATTTTGCTCTAATTCTCAGCCATGGCAAAAATTAGAATTTAAACAGTTTAAAATATGGTTTTGAACATGGTTTTTAATGGGGTCTTTAATCCAGAAACTGAGAGAATATTTGTAAAAATGGCAAGTATGAAAAGGATTCATTCTTCATAAGTATAGACAGGTTGTTAGGTAGGTACATGGCTATCTAACCAAAACAGACAAAAAAACGAAAATGAATGTTTTTCTCCCATTTCTTTTTCATACATTTTACATACAAAATCTACTGAGAAATTTTCTTTTGCAATTGTGACTATTTGTAGCATAGATTCTGAGCTGCTTATTTTACTAACAATCAGAATAATTAGATTAATGCCTGTGCAGAGAAGAATTGTAATTTATACTCTTACAATATTCTTTCAGACACATTACATTAACCCAGTTTTGTGAAAACTCTTTTCTTTTTATTGTTCCATTTGTTACATTATTAAGGCAACTTATTTGTTACATTATATTTGCAACCTATTTTGTTATTTGAGCCTCAGTGGTAATGTAACACACAAGAATTGCAAAAGAGCAGTATATGCTATAGCTCTGTGCCTTTGGGCATGTACAATTCCCCACGTACAAAGACAGAGTTCTTTAAGATTCAATAAATCCACACTTTCTCACTACAGTGTATCCAAGTGTACCTTGGCAAGAACTCCTTGCTGGAAGCTACCTTTCGTTTCCTCTTCTTCTAATCCACTGGAGTGAGTGACTTTAAAAATAACTCCTCTATTCTCCATTGAGAAAAGGAACGGGAGTTTCTAGACAGGAGGCAGTGGAAAACATGGCTGCCATATTTCACCAATGGTAAACATATGGCAGGAAATAGGAATGAGAGAATTTGGGAGGACAGGGAAAAAATGACATATTTCTTTCCCTTCCCATTAGGCACTTGTGGACATGCTATCTTTTCTTGATAAGGAAACTCCAATCTCTCCAAGAATGTTTTGTTTCAATGGTAACAGAAACAATTACTTTGAATAATAAACCAATGCCATAATTTGTTAATATATCTGCAAACTAACTTGAAACTGGTCATTTCTCCTTCATGCATATATAGGCGTTAAAAGAAACTGATTTTTTTAAATATTACACTTACCAAATCTCTCCTGGACTGTCACAGCTACCTGCTTGCCCACATTGGTGCTGCCCGTGAAGGAGAGCAGATCAATTCGCTCATCTTTTGCCATTGCTATGCTACACAAGACAATACAAAGACAAAGGAATAGTTTTAGATGATACGTAGTTGAACAAGTAGAGCTAGAAAGCAGTTCTTGTTAATTACCATTAAGATCTATTGCAATAACAATAACAGAATATCTAGCACATGCTCTATTACATTCTTCATATCATTTTGCTCCTTGATCATAAGTGAAAATTCTTTCAAAACTGTTGATACAGCATGAATGGAATGGCAAATACTTTAGTGTCCTGCTCTATATGGATCCAAATGGATATTATGCATAGGAAGAAGGAGCTACGTTTGGTAGCTAGAGTGAAGGGATAACTATGGAAAGAAAAAAAAAAGAACTCAATTTTGAGTTCAATTAAAAAACTATTGTAGTAATCTGGACCATAAATCTTCCAGGTTCTCACCTTTAATTTCATACAATTTGTTATTAAAATGTTCACACTGTACTAGCCAGATTTTATTTTCCAAACTGATTTTTAAGAATAATGCAATAAAAAGGCTTATGTATGTCTATGTACTATATTGATTCCTATATAATAGAAAACAGCATAGATAGCACAAATCTGACCTACAAACTCATATCTTAATTTTCTTCCTGTTGTCTCAAAATTTCCAAAAAGTTTCAACTTCAATGCCAATAAATGGTCCATCAAAGTTTCAGAAAAGCAAACAATCCATTTAATCCATTATAAAATTGTATTGATGGAGAAACAGTTTGTCAATTGAGATTCAGATTCATTTCCTTTTCAGTACATTTTCTAATCATTGTATTAATGGCAACACATCTAAACTGCAATTCTACACCTGGGACTGCAGGATTACACTACCAGTTCACTGATAATCTTTATTTTCTTATATAAAAGTTATTTAAGTTGCACCCTATACGATTCTCCTTTCTTAAATTTAGCCAACAGCATGGAAGAAAGAGGAGGAGAGAAATAAAAAAAACATTACTGAGGATAGAATTCATTTGGATTAATTAATTTTCTATGGCTACTATACTTCCCAATAATTTTCAAGTCTCTGAGCAATTTCTATCAATAACAGGATTAAAAAGAATAGACATACAATGTAACAGGACCCTCCACTAAATGTGCCACCCAGTAGGATTGGTTAAACTTCATTGTCCCCAGCACTTTCCTGAAGAGCTATGTCTTACAGCTCTGCAGCTTATTTATTTAGAGAATTTATATGGCTGCCCACTAACTTTCAGTGACTCTAGGACAGGGGTGTCAAGCTAGCATCCTGCAGGCTGGATGTGTAATGCACTGGGCACATCCACTCCAGCTCTGCAAAGGGAAAAAACATCACAAAACATCATGAGGGCAACTTGACACCACAAGTTTGATACCCGTGCTTACAGGCAATTAAGCAATTGCTCATTAGGGACAACTGACAATAGGGACAATGGAGCAGTTGCTCAATAGGGAAAGGGCAATCTGGATATTTGGGGACAAACTATTCCACAGAAGGAATCTGTAGCCATCCCCTTTTTGGTGCTAAATTGTGAGATTTCAGATACCATGTGGAAAACACTAAGAATCCAATGAACCGTGGATCACTATATCAAGAACTGCAGGATTATACACCCTTAGAAACAGGATTTTTGTAGTATTTTGTTTTGACATGATTTTTGTAGTATTGGAAATTGACTAAAATCTACATAATATTCAAAATGTTGGACTTACCCAATATCTGCTCCACCACAAGCTAGAGAGCAAATAGCACCAGGCAGCTTGTTATTCTCTAGGACTTGTGCAATTATTCTGGTAATCAAATAAGACATTAATTAATGATACATTTCCAATGGCAAAAATAAAATAAGTCTGGATAGATATCCAATAATCATTTTTGACAATTTCATCTTGTTAGTATATCTAGATGCTGGTGAAAGAAAAAAGTACTGCTTCCTTAAATCGCTCACCAACATAGTGGCCTGTTGTCCTTCTCTACTCTGACCTCCTGAACTCTGGAGATCTTCAAAAGGTAAGTGAACAATTTGATGACGGCAGGGGGGGGGGGGAGCATGTGTAACCCAATGGGCTGGAAAAGCAGGCCCAGAGCCTGCAGGGATCCAGCAGAGAAAGATGGAATGGGGGGATAGACAGAAAGCACAGAGTAGAATCTCTGCACTCAGTCATAATAATGACTGGATGGGTAAACTTTGAAATCAGGTTGTAAGTAGCTTTTGGGGGAAGGGGGAAAGCGGTCGTAATTTTGAGCAGTCGCTAAGTGACCATTTGTAAGTACTATCTGCACTTCCCACATCACCTCACCGTAGAGGTTTTAAGCGTGGAATGCCTTTACGCATGCATGCATACCTACCATTGGGTCTCCAGGCAACCAACTCAGAAAAAGGGAAAAAAGGTGAAATATCAAACAACAAGCTTCTTGAAGCAAAGCAGAAGACAAAACAAAACTGAAGCTGCATGCAACTCATATCAATAAAGGAAAGAAACTCACTTTGTAACAGCCACACTGGTAAGGGATGTTGTGGGTGCACCTTTCCTTTAGAAAGAAGGGGGGAAGATAAACATTATTAGACATAGGAATCATCTAAATTAAAATGAATAATATATGGTATTTTAAGACATATTGCTACATTTATTAAGCACCAAAAACTGAGTAATAGCAAAAGAAAAATCAATCAAATGATTACCCTTTATCTCATACAATCTACTAAAGAGTTCCTCCAGACTCCACCTGTTATTGTTCTTATTTTTAGAATTATCTTCATATGAATAAGGTTATTTTAACAATGTATTTGGCCAGTTGTTTCTAAAATCAATTAGTTACTTCTGTGCAGGAATTGTCAGGTTGACATACAATAAAAAGAAAAAAACCTCACCATGTGGGTGTTACTCGGTGTGTTTGTTCTCACTCTAACAGCATTTCCTTTTTCAATTCACAGACACTGTTCACAAACTGCATTTAAACTATCATAGCTCACAGCTTGGTAGCAGTGTAAATTGGGGTGGCTTTGTGCATTCACTAACCTGACACAAAGCATGAGGATGGTTTGCTTGCTCTATTAACAATGACCCAAACTGCAGTACCTCATGTATGGCAAGCATAGCAAGCTATTTTTAAACCTGAGCCACTAGAAATCTTGGGAAGTGCCTAATAATCAAGACTCATCCAGAGACAAGATGGGTGATTCGTAGCATGCCAGCTATCTCAGCAGCATAGACAACAGGAGCTACACTATGCCAGCATGAAGGAATGACAGGTTCCTTACCATGTTATATAGAGAAACAAAGAAACAACAAGCCATGTTTAGTGCAGTATTAACTCAGTAAAGTGAAGGATCGCTGATTTATATCACTCCCTTTTAAAGAAATGCCATCTAATATATATTGATATCTGTTAACTAGAACAGGGGTCTCCAATCTTTTGGACCTCAGGAACCACCAATTATTAATTTTAAATCCCACGGACCACTAATACGAATCCAGGGCACTGCTCGCTGAAGCACCTGGACCACCAGTGAGTGGATGGGGTCCTTCAGGCACTTAGCTTGGCTGCCTGTTTCTGCAACCTTAAATACTCCAAGAGTCATTTGGACCTGTTTCCCACAGAAAACAAAACACCGGGATCTCTCATATCTCATCTCTCTTTCTCTCTCTCTCTTTCCCTCTCCCCCTTTCTCCCTCTTTCTCTCTCTGTGTCATCTCTCTCTTCCTTCTCTCTCTTTCTCCCTTTCTCCATGTCTTCTCTCTCTCTCTTTCTGTGTGTGTGTTGTCTCTGTCTCTCTCTTCCCCCACCCTTGCCCCCAGGGGTAGGGGAAAGGAACCTCTGAACTGGTGGTGGGAGACCAACGAGCCATGTGCTGAAGACCAGATGGGTGGTGGGGAGGTGGGGCCAACCTGCAGTCTCCCTCGCACACCTGTGTCGTGGCTGCTGCCTCCTGCCTCCGCGCATCAAGGAGGCTGAGCAGCAGCAGGGAGAGCGCGGACCTGCTGAGCTGCAGGAAGCGGCTGCTAGCAATGCCCCTCAGGTGAAGATGTTGTGAGGGGGAGGCTCGATCCCTCCCCCCAGGAGCTGCAAAGCACTCGCCGCCCCTCTGGAGGAGGAGGCTTGGCAGCTGCCAGATGGACGGCGAGTGCTTTGCGGCTTCTGAGGGGAGGAGCGCAGATCGCGCCTCCCCTCGCAGGCCAGGGAACACCTGGGAAGGTTCCGATGCTGCGATCTGCCATGCGCTACCCTCTCTCCCCGTGCACATCAATCCATTCGCTGCCAGTATCACCCATTGCAGATACGGGTGTGCTGTGGACCAAAATTTCTCATGGACAACCAGTGGTCCACAGACCACCGGTTGGTGACTTCTGAATTAGAATATGAATGCTGTAAATGAGATAAAAATATCAACTAATTTCCTGAAGACATGCAGTTGCTTTGTACAACTAGCAGCCGCGATAACCTATGTTTTTGTACCATTTACAAATGACACATAACCACTGGCTATATATACAGGTGATCCTTGACTTATAATCCGTGGTTTTAACTACTGTTGGAAATTACAATGTATCATAAATGGTGCTTTATGGTTCATCTTAAATCAATCATCAGGCATCATAAAATGGTGTTTCCCCCCCCCC